ACCACCCAAGTTAGCTCCTGCCTGCATTGATTGTCGGGATGGGGTTTAAACCCCTTCAGCATTGGTATCCAAGGATGGTTCCAAATATGAGTGTCAGTTCCTGATTTGATTTGGTATCTAATACCACTTAGCAAGTCTTTCTGGGCATTCATCCAGCTTGTCCAAAGCCAAGATTCACTGGTTTTCTTTTTTGCTGAGAGAATGGATCCTTTAGGAAAATATTTGGCTTTGAGAATTTTGCTCACCAAGAGGTTGGGATTGTTGTGTATCCTCCATAGTTGTTTTGTGATCAAGGCTACTAAGTTTTAAATTTTCAAGGGCACATTTGGTTTCCAAGACAGGATTAGACTATTTTTATTTTAAAACCCTCACTACACTATTAAGATTATAGACATCCATTGTTTGTTAGGCATGATTTACGGATTCGCTAAAATTGAAAATAAACTGAACCTACATTTGTTTTGCATGATATGACTTTGATTAAATATGTATATTGACTAAATTGCCCCTGTTGTAGCTGTAAAATTTTTCAGTTTATTAATGACTGTTTTTTGGAATGCAATTGTGAGTTAGGGTTAGGGTAAACAAATATGAATCAAAAAAAAAAAAAAAAAGTTGTTGCGATTTTGTAATAAACAGATAATGCATACACAACAGAACACACACGGATCTGCAAAAAAAAAAAAAATGAGAGAAAAAAATACCCCAAAAAAAAAATCGGACGGAAGGGTCGAGAGGATACCTGTTGTTGATCTTCGCGTTCACAGAGGTAGAGGAGTGTTGTGTCAGTAATTGCCTTTTTTAGATGCTTTTTGAGGGCTAATTGGTAATTACATCAGTTAAATAATGTACAGATGTATTGAAACATGGGGTAGTAGAGGAGATTGGTTAGTATGCCATATTCCAGATTACGCAAAATTTATCGCGAGCCGGACCAAAATTTGCGGGCTACTATCATAGTCAACAAACACGTGATAAAGCAGGATAAATGGGCTTATCTTATCTAATCTCGCCAACCAAATTAGCTCATTAGATTAAAATAAGACTACTATATTTACTAAGTTTTAAATTTTCAATTAGATTAAAATAAGACTACTATATTTTCAAAAGCTAATGATTAGCTTCACTTTTATTTTATATATTTTTTTATTTACTGGCCTTTATTTTATCCTATATTTTTTAGTATTTTGGTTGGTATTTATGGTATCCATATATTTTTTTTCCCCAAAGAATAGATAATATTATAAATCAAAATGCACAAATATGCGAATACATAGCCCTTAGTTGAGTGGAACAACCAACAACTGCAAACGTTAAAGGACATGTCAATAGACGGTCTAGAATCCCGACACTGACAAAGCTAGAAGAAAATTTTTCAGTTATTTTGTGTGTATTTATATTTGACCTATCCGCATGGGCTACGGTAGTTTTAAACGTTGATAAGGACATTAATTTTTTCATAGTTTACTTTTCAAAATTACAAAAATTTCATTTGTACCTAAATTTTACTTTATATATTGTGCAATTAAAAAAAAATAAAAAACCCACAATATTCAAGCGGAATGAAGAAAATAATATCTATCGTTCCGGAAAAAAAAATAATAATAATGTTGAGCAAAAAATCCCATTGGTGGAAGGTTTGTGGGGGGGTGATGAAAGAAAATCTCAAGTAGCAACAACCACTGAAGGCGAAGTTCTACCAAAACTACAAATCACTCTTCACCAAAATGTTACCAAATACTTAATCATTCCCAACTTTGGTTTATATAATTAATTAAATGATTATATAATTTAGAAAAGGGGAGAAAATGATATACTATCTTTCGCCCCACAGAA